GCTTTCACCTTGTTTTACACTCTTTTTGATGGGTTTTCAGAAGGGAATGGAGTGGAATGAAATGGGGGGAAAGACGGCTCCAATCTCAGCTTCTCAGCCATCCCCCTTCACTTCTCCAAGTATCGCCATTTCACTGGCTCCTGTCGATTACACACAGTCATCGATTCTTGAAATACCTGAAATTATTGTCTTTCCAATCACAATTCCACTATGATCATTCGCTGGTTTCTCTATTTAGTCCCATTACTTTTACTTCTGTCCACGATTCAAGCAGATCAATTCCTGAAAAACAATCACCCACATCATCTTGAGCCAACTATTGAAACAGTCAATGAAACAAAGCAAGAGAATCCAGTAAAACATCAAGCACATGGAGTAAAGGTAAGCTTTACCGCTTTAGATTTATAGCTAAACGCTTGAATATCCAAGCTTTTATTATTAGATTTGAATATATCAAATACTAAACTTTGTAGAGTAAGAGTAAGAGTTTTTCAACTGAACGCTGGATAGGATTTTAGACTGGAGGATTGAGTGATTCAAGTTGAATTCAAGTTCAACTTGAATACCTCAATTGCTCTGAACAGTCTAGCAACTTTGAAAACATTTGAAACACAATCAAATCAAATAGTTTATTTAAACATTTCAGGTAGCTAGTTTCAAGTTTGAATACGTAAGAGAGCCTCTTGTGTTAACCGTCTTCATCATTGTATTCATCGTAAGAGAGCCTCTTTAGATTTATAGCTAAACGCTTGAATATCCAAGCTTTTATTATTAGAATTGAATAGATCAAATCCTAAACTTTGTAGAGTAAGAGTTTTTTTTGGACTGAACGCTGGATAGGATTTTAGACTGAAGGATTGAAGTCTAGCAACTTTGAAAACATTTGAAACACAATCAAATCAAATAGTTGCTTTAAACTTTTCAGGTAGCTAGTTTCAAATTTGAATACGTAAGAGAGCCTCTTGTGTTAACCGTCTTCATCATTGTGGTTGGATTGTTTAAATTGGGTGAGTTATTCAAATTTCTATTTCATTTATCTTCAAAGTATTTTAGGTTATCATCACACAAATTACATTCAGCATGTTCTTCCCGAGTCTTGTTGTCTCATTCTTGTTGGTGCTTTACTAGGATTTGCATTTCTGTAAGAGAAAGTCGTCAAACCTTTTTCCCCAATCATAATTCAGTTATGATGAAACACATGAATCGGTGAAATTCTTGGAGTTCGACTCAAGAACTTTCTTCTTTATGCTTTTACCACCGTAAGAGATTAAAGCAAAGCTTTCTATTGGTTTTCTTGATTAAAAAAAGATTATAGAATCATTCTTGAAGCTGCTTATTCGTTGAAAGATCGAGCGTTTATCGAAAATTTAGGCACAATTTTAATTTACGCTGTTGTGGTGGGTATTTAAACTTTAAATTATTGAAATTCTAAATCTATAATCATTAGTTTTCTATTTAATTTATAATTCTATCGATTAAGGGAACCGTTTTGAATATTATGATCATCGGTGGTGGATTGATTGCTCTTTCTGAACTCGGTTATATTAATGGATTCATGGTAAATTTAATAAAACAATCATTTTTCTTTAATTCTCTCTAATAGTAGTGCACTCTCTAATAGTAGTCATACAACTCTTTTGACATACAACTGTATGTCAAAAGGAGCCAAAGGAGTACGTGAAAGATTTGTCTTACTTTGGTAAATGATAAAACTCTTTAATAGTAGTGCACTCTCTAATAGTATTGCGGTTCGAGAGGGGGTTAAAAAAATAGTAGTGCACCCTCGTAAATTTGAATTTCTGGTGCTTCTTTTTCATCTAAACCTTTATGTTTATGTGACATTCTAAAGCTATTTAAGCAAGCAAAAGTGAGGCTTTTTTTTATTCATTCATTAACTATTCTTCACATGAAAAAGTTAACAAAAAATCTAAAATTGTTGTGCAAAGTGCAAAAACATCTTTTTGTTGTTTGTCAAAACACAAATTGTCAACTCGCCGGCCCACAACTGTATGTCAAAAGGAGCCAAAGGAGTACGTGAAAGAATTGCAAGAATTTTTGGAACAAAGATTTGTCTTACTTTGGTAAATGATAAAACTCTTTAATAGTATTGCGGTTCGAGAGGCGGTTGAAAAAAATAGTAGTGCACACTAATATTAGAGAGAATACGGTAAACAATCATTAAACAATCATTCAACAATCATTAAACAAACAACAAACAACAAACAATCAATAAAAACATTTAAAACAAAATTCTAGGTTGATCCATTGGATTGTCTCGTTTTCGCATCGTTAATTGCAGCTGTGGATCCTGTAGCAGTGAGTTTTAAACTCTATTTCTTTCTATTAATTTCAATTTTTCTCTATATTAAAGATTAAATATTTGATTAATTTTGTTCTTAATTTAAATTTAAAAATGAACACAACTTAGGTTCTTGCAATTTTTCAAGAAGTTGGCGTCAATAAAGTGCTCTACTTTATGGTCTTCGGAGAGTCCTTGTTGAATGGTTTGTTTAATCTTCTAAGAACATTTATTCATCTAAATCCTCCCCGAAACCAATGAATTTCCAGATGCTGTCACCGTTGTTTTTTACAATCTTGTGATTGAGTTTAAAGAATTGCCCTCAATTCGCTTCTTCGACGTACGTTTTCTTATCTTTTTCCCACAAAAAAATTCGACAAAAACTTGTCTCCTCTTGAAATTGAAAAATTGTTGACTTAAAGCTATCAAGTTTTTGTGAAAAGGAATTTTTTTTTTGGTAAAAAAAGGCAATGATTTTAGTGTATAATGGGTCTTCTGGCATTTCTCTGTGTGGCACTGGGCGGGCTCTTTATCGGACTCTTCTTTGGGTGCATCTCAGCGTTTATTACTAAGTTCACTTTACATGTCAGAGGTGAGTAAAAAAAGTAGAAAGGATTGACAAAGAAAGATTTTTGGAGAGGGGATTGCCTTTCTAGGCAGATGCTCTAACCACTGAGCTATCCAGTATCTTGTCAAGAGAAAGAAGAAAAGACAAGGTGAGGGAAGAAAGGAAGAAGGAAAAGACACAGTTGTCAGGTTAATAAAGGAAAGTAAGGAATAGGAAAGTAAGATTTCCGAAGAGGGGATTGAACCCTCTAGCCTCTAGGCAATTGCTCGAACCACTGAACTATCGAGCATCTTCTTGCCAGAGAAGAAAGAGAAAATACAAGAGGGAAGAGAAAGGAAGAAAGAGAAGGAAGGAAGAGAAAGAAGAAAGAGATGGAAGAAAGACAAAAGAAATTAAGAAATGAATCTGAAAAATTTGGCTGTACAAAAGTTGTAAGAGTTAGAGATCAAAGTCAGATTTGAAAAGCAAAAAGTTTGTGACATCTATCTAAATTTAAAATGATCAGTGTTAAACTTTCAGTTGTTGAGCCGGTAATCCTCTTCGGTACTGCCTATCTTTCATTCATTTTCGCCGAAATGTTTCACTTCTCGGGCTTAATAGCGTGAGTCGATTTTTCTCGTTAACTATTAACACTTTAGAACTTTCATGAGTAAAAGCAAAAAGAATATTGTTTTAATTAAAATATCAACTAATGTAAAGAATTTAGACTGATAGCATGTGGTCTTTTCCAAACGCATTACACTTGTGGAAACATTTCCTACAAATCCTACGTCTCAGTGACATATTTCGCAAAAGTGGCCAGGTAATCATGACTTAAATATTCATATGTCGTAGCCGATTATGAATGAAATTTTTTGGTAAATCTTTCCAGTAGAGCAACCCTTTAATAATAATGATTTGATCTGTCTTCGCACTTAGCGCAGATCACAACCCGCTTCCACATTTACTGAGGCAGAAGTGTAGTTGTCGTAGCCGATGATACTCCGATGGCCGGGCTGGGGCGCTCGGAGGGGAGCCCATGGGAGTCGAACCCACGACTAACCCGCGCCGACGTTGCTCAACTTGGCAGATCGGACGGGGTCGATCACAGACCCTTCCCTTTCTGGCCCCCAACCCTTTAATGTATGAGGACAATATTATATCATCCTGTAGCGAATTAAATTCTGCGTCGATTGGTACCAAATTTGTGAGTTTAGGTTAAAAATTATCGGCGCTACAACGTTTCATTCAAAATTGGCGGGACCCCCGTAGCCGATTATGAATGAGTTGGTCTAGGAGCGTCCAACCATCAAGTATTTGGTATCATTCAACGCAGAATCATTAATAGTTATGTTAAATTTTTAAAATTAGAAAGATTTGATAAAAAGAAAAAAAATTAGAGCAAAAAAACTGTTTGTTCAAAAGGAAACTTTGAGGTCCCATAATTTTTTTTCTTTTTATTCAATCTTTCTAATTTTAAAAATTTAACATAATTATTAATGATTCTGCGTTGAATGATACCAAATACTTGATGGTTGGACGCTCCTAGATCCACTCATTCATCGGTTACTATCAGAAGCGAATACTTGATGGTTAGATGCTTCTAGACCCGCTCGTTCATAATCGGCTGAAATTCAGAATCGGCTACGACACATATATTATAAATTAATTAATAAAAACTTGAATTCAAAGTTTACAGCTCTGTTGCCGAGTCTCTAATTTTCATAATTCTTGGAGTAATGCTGGTGAATGAAAGAGGCTGGTTTTGGTCTGATTGGCATCCACTTTTCTCAATTTATGCTCTCATTTTTTGTCAAATTGCTAGAGTACTTGGTTGGTTTTTAAATGAAAAACTTGTATATCTAATTATTATCTTCAAAATTTCTTTAATATTTTGAATATTTCAGTTGTTTTCTTCCTCACCTATATCGTGAATCAGTTCACTGGAGGTGTTCGCTACATCAGCTTCCAGGAGCAGCTTATAATGGTAATTTCTATGAAAACAGAAAGCTTTAAATAGAAATTTATGCAAAATTTATTTATTGTAAAAGATTATGAAAAATTTTGAAGAATAACGCTCTTTTAATACAAAAAAGCGCCCTCAAACGGTCTCACGCAGATGCTCTCTGTGCGGCCGCATAAACGCGCGCTTTCTGGCACATGAGGCAAGAAGGGGTCATAAAAAAGACCTCTCTTTTCCCGAACTCGTTCATTCCTATGAACATATACTAAAATTGGAACAATACAGAGAAGATTAGCATGGCCCCTGCGCAAGGATGACACGCAAATTCGTGAAGCGTTCCAAATTTTTTGCCCTTTATTGGGAAAATCAAAGCATAGATTTTCTGAAACAATAATTTCCAGGCTTACGGAGGACTCCGAGGTGCCATTTCCTTTTCTCTTGTCTTCATGATCAGCGATGATGTGCCAACGAAAAATACTTTGCTCTCAGCGACTTATATTGTCATATTATTCACAGTCTTTGTGCAGGTAAAGTTTTTCTTCAACAATGAAGGAATTCAAAATCTCAGGGTTGCACAATTAAACCGGTTGTTCGATACTTGAACATTCGTTTGGCCAGGAAAGAGGACAATTTCCGAATGTTTAACGAGTTCAATCGGGGAATGATCACTCATATGTCACAAGGAATTGAGGATTTAGTCGGATATAAGAAAAGGAGCTTGATGGTGAAATTGAAATCATTTTCTCGAAAGATTCATTTAGAGTCAAGCAAGTACTTTTTCAAAGAACTATATTCGACCGATTCTTGAAAAAGGATACGATAAACATAATCAAAAAAAGCCTGAGAATCGTTTAATGATGATAGATCGAGAGGAAACATTGAGGTATTGAAATTTAAGCAAAAAAAAAAAGTTAACTACAAAAAGTTAACCATCAAAATCTTTCAGAGAACAAATGCGCAAATCCGCTTCGACAAACTCTTTTAAGAATCAAGAAGCTATGGAGCAAATGGCTGAAGAGTGAGTGAAGCAGACGACAAGTCAATTAATTAGATTCTCTTAAGGAAAGATCGATTTTTAAACAGCCTGGATAACATCTTTTGAAATATTCACTGAATTTAGAGGTGAAATCACTCGCGGTCTCCTTGATGAAGAAGAGAATTTCCCTCGTTTACGTGGAAAATCGACGAGATCTCGATCGGGAAAGGACAGCGATTTGGAGAGGGAAAAATTAGAGCAAGAAACAATCCAAATCACTCAAAATAGCTTTCAAATTCGAAAACTCATCAATGGAAACCAGAATAATGTGAGTTTTAAGTTGAAGTAGTGGTTAGTCAGTTGGAATTTGACCCTAAAGTGGTGAAGATGAACCAACTAAACGTTTAACCCTAATATTTAAAAAAACTAACTTGAAAATGGCTTCAATCTTTTTGAAATTGATTAAATTATCAACGTTTTAGTTCTATTTGGATCGAAATCTCACTGAGAAAGATGATATTGCTTGCATTGATAAAGTGAGAAATGCACAGCATCACATTCTAGCACTACAGGAAAGAGCGAAAAATATGAATGAAAGCCAGTAAGACTTTAAAAAAAAACTAATAGAGATTTGAAAGAATAAGATAAATAATATAAATACAGTACTGGACAATGAAATATGATATTTGAAAAAAGATCGTCACTTCCGCGCGTCTATAACTCCCTTGTCTTTGGGTTTAAACGATTAGTGTTATACATTTTCTGAAAGCTCTTTTCAAGGGCTACACAATGGTAATATTAATATTTAGAAATACGGTAAAGAGAAGGAAGTTATAGACGGGCGAAAGTGACGATCTTTTTTCAAATATCATATTTCATTGTCCAGTAGTGTATAACTAATAAATTTGAAACAGAGTTCGACGACGAGGGTTCTCGAAGATCAAAAAATCGCAACCAAAGAAAAGCACGACACAGGTGGGGAAAGCTCTGGATTCTCTCTCGATTCTGGAATAACTTTTAAGGACATTTCAAACTGGAATTTCAAACTATTTCTATTTAGGGTCTCCTCTTGGCTTCAATGGGTTCAATTGGTGTTCAATCGATTGACGCTGGTGATGAAGATATTGGCATTGAGTTCACGATGCCTCAAGAAAATGCTTGTCAGGTGCTTGATCTATAGAGCTTTAATCCTTGTCATTTACAACAAAATACAGAATTTTTAATTTAAATTGAGTTGGGGGAGTATGAAATGGTGCCAATTTTCAAAGAAATTTCTATAATATCAAATAGTTTTTATCAAATGACAGTAGTTATTAGAAAGATCACTTGTTTCTCTACAAAATCAGATTTCAAATAGAACTAGCGCTCCAATTCAATAAAAAATCATTTTTTCAGAAAATCTATACCATTTAGAGATAAGGACTGACAAGATTACTACAAAAATTTCATCAAATCACAATATATAGAGCTTTAATCTTTGTCATTTACAACAAAATACAGAATTTTTCATTTAAATTGAGTTGGGGAGTATGAAATGGTGCCGATTTTCAAAGAAATTTCTATAACATCGAATAGTTTTTATTAAATGACAGTAGTTATTAGAAAGATCATTTGTTTTTGTACAAATAGAACAGATTTGAAGATCAGATTTGAAGATTTACATCAGATTTGAAATAGAACTCCAATTCAATAGTCATTATCTCAATAGTCATCATTCAATAAGAATCAGTCATTATCTCCAATTCAATAAGAGATCATTCTTTCAGAAAATCTATATTATTTAGAGATAATGACTGACAAGATTACTACAAAAATTTGGCTAATAACTCTAACTTTTTTTATTTTAACATTAAGTGTGTATGGAACGAGTCAAATGGACTCCTGGTCATTTTGACTGGTTTCGTTTAAGACCCTATAAAATTCTACAAAAAAAACAAAAGCTTTTCGGAATCTCACAGACATTTTGTAGAGCAATGATTGATCTTTTTCATTATACAAACAATATATGGAGCTTTTATGCGATCTGAAAATGTTTTCGGAAAGTCGACTCCATTTTGATACTCTTAAACCAATTCAAATCAACAACCAGCTATTTTGATATTCAGTTGTACACGATCAATGAATCGATGGACTCAACGAATGACTCACCCGAAAACCCAACGAATTCCCAAGAAGAGAAAGAACTTTGAAAGCAAGTTCACATCGATTGAGTCTACATTTTTAAATTCTAACTTACTTTAACAACTTTGCCTTGTGAACTTTAACATTTTTGAATTAAATGCTAAATTTGGACTTGTTAATTGTTTATTTTTATTGATCTATAATGATTTCTAAAACTCTTAATCTTTATGACAAAATTTATCGCTTAAAATAATTCCTGAATGATCTCATTTCATCGTTTGTCAAATTTCTCATCATTTCCTGCAACAGCTGACTGTTCATTCCTTCAAATTCTTCTTTTTTCAAAACCTTTTTCTAATCATTGAATGCCTTTCATTGTTTCGCATAAAATTTAATGTTCATTTTATGGAATGAAATCATTGAGACGAAAAATATTGAGCGATGAGCTGAGTGGACCGATTTCAGGAGGAAAACAATGAGAGAAAATGGGACTGATGCTGAGAATTTATTGTGTTTTTAAGTCATAAAGCTTATCAATGACAGAAAAAGGTTTCAAATTGTCTAGATGTGATTGAAAACGGAAGAAAGGGGGTGCTTGTTGATGCCTCAAACTCAAAAAAAGGGGGGTAGTCAAAACAGCGCAATAATAGAAAACGTTCAAAACAGCGCCGTCAAATTTCTCACAGTCCAAAAACCAAGCCGGTTCAAGTTTTATATCAAAAAATTCCTTGCGTTCTTGGCTACATGATAGGTGGAACAGTTTTTTAAAAAAGTTAATATTTCATAGATAAAAAGCGCACTCAAAATGGGTCTCTAAAGATTGACCAACTGAGTATCACTCGACGCACATTTTGAGTGCTCTTTTTATCTATGAAATATTAACTTTTTTTAAAAACTGTTTCACCCATCATGTAGCCAAGAACGCAAGGAATTTTTTGATATAAAACTTGAACCGGCTTGGTTTTTTGGACTGTGAGAAATTTGACGGCGCTGTTTTGACTACCCCCCAAAAAAACCCCTCTAGTGGTCTCACGCAGATGCTCTCTGTGCGGCCGCATAAACGCGCGCTTTCTGGCACATGACGCAAGAAGGGGTCATAAAAAAGACCTCTCTTTTCCCGAACTCGTTCATTCCTATGAACATATACTAAAATTGGAACAATACAGAGAAGATTAGCATGGCCCCTGCGCAAGGATGACACGCAAATTCGTGAAGCGTTCCAAATTTTTTGCCCTTTATTGGGAATATCAAAGTATAGATTTTTAGAAACAAGAATTTCCAGGCTTACGGAGGACTCTGAGGTGCCATTTCCTTTTCTCTTGTCTTCATGATCAGCGATGATGTGCCATCGAAAAATACTTTACTCTCAGTCTTGCACCATTGTCTCCCAACGGAAACTTAAAGGACAAAAATTTCCAATCAAGGCTGAACTATGGGGCCATGTGGAACAAGTATGGAAGACGATCTCTCAACATTTTTTGCACAAATTGGTCTCATCGATGCCCAGAAGACTACAAAAGATCATTCAAGCAAAAGGAGCTGCTACAAAGTATTAAACTTATTGAATTTTTTTGATAGTGCAAGACTTTGTTTGTTTCCTTTTTTTGTTGGTCATTAACTCTTTTGTTATTTTTACTATTTTACTGTTACGAATAAATTTTTCAATTGTTCATTCGGAAACTAAACTAAAATGGTAGAATTAGTAGCCAACAAGTTTTCTGTGAAACGCTTATTTTTGGCGAAAATTTTTTTGTTTTAAGCCTTTGAGAGACAATGGTGCAAGAGAGGCAAGACTTTTTTTGCTGACTGTATATTTTTGACTGTAATATATGTCGCTATATATCAATATATGTCGCTGAGAGTAAAGTATTTTTCGATGGCACATCATCGCTGATCATGAAGACAAGAGAAAAGGAAATGGCACCTCGGAGTCCTCCGTAAGCCTGGAAATTCTTGTATCTAAAAATCTATGCTTTGATTTTCCCAATAAAACGCAAAAAATTTGGAACGCTTCACGAATTTGCGTGTCATCCTTGCGCAGGGGCCATGCTAATCTTCTCTGTATTGTTCCAATTTTAGTATATGTTCATAGGAATGAACGAGTTCGGTGAAATGGAGGTCCTTTTTATGACCCCTTCTTTCGTCATGTGCCAGAAAGCGTGTGTTTATGGGGTCGCACAGAGAGCAATTGTTGACCCCTTTACGTGGAGATTAAATTAAATAACTGATGTCGTTTTGTTCAAATATTGCAAAAGAAAATCAATTCTTCAAGGAAGGTTGAAAAATTGTATTGAATTAAATTAAATCTTATGTAACTTTGGTATTTCAATATTTGATAGTTAATAACTATGCTTTTAGAGTTAAATATTTCTTTATATTGCAGCTGTCTTTTAACCGATCCCAACCATTTCTTCTAGTTAAGAGCTTTAGTTCGGTAATTGATTGATTGAGTGTATCTTTTTGCCAAGAAAAACTACAATTGCTTTCCGTTCAAAGCACAGAGTACAGATCTAATATAACAATGTTATTAATCACTATAAAACATTCAACAGATCAAATCAATTACTTAAAAACAATCGTTTCATTGTTATCTTCAGCTCCTTTGATTGTTGTTTGTGTGAAAAGAATGCCGATGGTAAGTGAGCCTTTTCTCTCAAAAAGCTGATAACGAGTGAGTAATTTTCAATCAAATGGATTGTTTTTCAAGATTTCTATCAATATTCATCAAGTTTTTCCTAATCAATTTATTCTTAGCGTTAAGTGAAGCGGAATTGATATTTACACAAGTGGTCAGTTTTTGAGAAACAAATTAAATCCTAATTTTCGGTAAAAGTCAATTCTTATCAGCTTTCTAGTTAAGAAGACTCTTTCAAAAAATCAATTAAACTTTCTAAAATCAACAAAATGATTCAAGATTTAAGAAGTGAACAAAAAAAGAATCAAAAAGCTATGAAAAAGTCTAATCAAAACTTAAATAAAAGTCAAATTCAGTGGTTTCGTCATGGTGAACGAGCGCCTTCACATTTCCGACGTTTTCCCAATGAGGCCACTGATTTTGGGAAAGATTTCCCCATTGAAAATGGAGAATTGACTATGGTAAGTAGCAAATTCCGCGGTTCGATTGTCCGAATCAAAATAGATTCAAAATAGACTTCAATTCGTCTAGTTTCATGCTGATTCCGAATACAGGCTTTCTTTTGATATTCTTTTGATAAATCTATTCTGACGAAAGCTATATTTAGATCTATTTCATCTTTAGATACCGTATTCTCTCTAATAGTAGTACACCCTGAGCCTTGCCTAAATTCCTCGAAATCTCGAGAACCGCTTATCAGAACCTATCGATGTGGGGTCGGAAAATGTAGCTGATGATGAGATATTGTGGGGGATTAGAGTGTTGAGCTTCTGCAAACGCTTGGAAACCGTAAAATAGGCATCAACTCGGCTCGGCGCGGTGCACTAGTATTAGAGAAAATACGGTGTATTTGACATTCAGAAAGGCAGGATGATGGAGTACACAATTGGGCAAACGTTGCGCACTCGTTACGACAATTTTATAGGAGAAGAATATAAACCCCATCAGGTAAGTGAATAGCTTATTTGTTTTAGAATTTTTAGATATATTATTTCCTTTTCAGATAAGAATCTATTTTGATTCGGACAATCGAACGGCGGAATGTGCTCAACTAGTTGCTGCTGGTACTATCTTTTGTTTGATTTTTAAATATTTTCATTTCATTTATTCAATTGAATAATTATTTTAATTTCCTCTAAAGTATGAGACACCAAGTGCGTGCAATGGTCAGCACAGTTGCCTAGTAGGCGAAAGGTCACGGGTTCGAGTCTCGGCAGCGCACAAGTTTTGTTCTCTCATAGTCTCAACTCAACTAGTCGCTACTCGTTTTATCTTTTCATTTACTATTAGATTAAGAAAGATTTTGATTCCATTGTTTAATTGAATATCTTCTTGTACCATCATTCATTAGTTCTATCACTTTTAGGTCTCTTTCCTCCAAGTGGGGAACAAATTTGGAATACAAAACTCCTCTGGCAACCACTGGCAATTCACGAAGAGTTGATTCTCAAACATGTTAGAAATCTTTTCTTTAAAATCTTTAAGTTCTTAATTTCATTTGAATAAGATTACAATGTAAAAAAAAAAAAGATTTCAGACCTCATTCTCTATGCTTGGAACTTGCCCAAAAGCTGGAAAAACAATCAAGAACTCGAAAGAGTTTCAGAATATTTTAAGAAAAGTTGATCCAAATTTTATTGATTTTCTTAAATCAAAGACTTTGGTGAAAGATGTACCGAATGCTCAAGCGTTGAATGAACTCGTTGATTCGTTGTATACAAGGGTCAGTTTTGATAGGATTTCAGTGTAGAAAAGTTTCAGGTTAAAATCAACGACTCACGTCTAGCGGCCCCATCTTGGGTCACTCGAGAAATCTATGAAAAACTTGATGAGACTACCAATTTTCTTCACACCTCTTTCATGAATCTCACTCGATTAACGTCTGGAAGTAAGAAAATCGACGCAAAACTAAAAAATTGAGTTAGCAGAGTTGATTTTAGAGTGTTTTCCTCGCGAGTAATGCATTTTTTAAAACGCACACTTGGGAAAAAATTACCGTACTTTTAGCAAAAATTCTTGCAAAAAAATGACGAAAAAAATGACAAGCCCCGCTTGCCTTTTGATCTCTCATAGTCCCAACTCAACTAGTCGCTACTCGTTTTATCTTTATATACGACACTTTTTAAAGATACTCAGTCGTTTAACTGCTTTGGTGAGAAATTTCCATCCAATGTAAAAAAATGATTTTTTTGAAAAACCTGCGCAAAAAATTGCTTGTATATTTTCTCTCGCGTAGGCGCACTTTTTAGAAAACGCATTACTCGACAATTACTCGAGCTATTACTCGAGCTATTACTCGAGCTATTACTCGAGCTATTACTCGAGCTATTACTCGAGTAATTACTCGAGCTATTACTCGAGCTATTACTCGAGCTATTACTCGAGCTATTACTCGAGCTATTACTCGAGTAATTACCCGCGAGGAACACACTCTAGTTGATTTAGTTTTTGTAATGTAAAAGAAAACAGTTTTTAAGGTTTGATGACTAGAGAAAATCTGCTTTAATTGTTTAAACCTGAGTTTATTACTTTATTAAAGTCATTTAAATGACAGATTGGCACGTGGATCGAGTTCTCAACGAGTTCCATCAACATCTCTCGAGGCCAACTGATCTTAAGAATAAAATCGTTTTATTCTCCGGTGTACTTTAATATTAAAAGATACTCAGCTTATTGATTGAAATTTTCGATGAAAGAACTTTGAAATCTATTTAGCATGACACAAATCTGATGACAATCGGCCGGGAAATCGGCTTGAAAGAAGTTGGAGTTAGATTGCCTGATTTTGGAGGTCATCTCCTCCTAGAGTTGCACAAGATTTCTGATGAATTATATGTCCAAGTAATGATTAATCTTAAATCTTAATTGTCGTTTTTTAAGGCTTGGTTTGCTTCCTTTTATTTGGCTGAACTCAAAGAACAGACGTTTGAGCTTTGTGGAAATCCATGCCGTTTTGAACGATTTGTTGAACTTTATGGATCGAGAAAGTGAGTAGATTTCGTTGAAGATCTTTTTAAAAATGATCTCTAAGATCGGCTGAACTTTTATAGCTAAAGCTAGTTTGCGAAATGAGAACACTGTTGCTTTAAACTTTGCTTTAAACACTGTTGATCTTTAGATACTCTGATGAACAATGGTGGGACTACTGCAGGGGTTGGATTCAAGCTGATAACCGTGACAATTCGACTATAGGTTTGTGAGGAAAAGTTGAGAAATTTGTAAAATAAGAGAAGACGAAACTGTCCGTTATTTAGCTTGGTTCATTGTGGCTTTAATCGTTCTTCTCCTCATCGACGTCTTTTTACTCTACAAATGTTTGACGGCAAGACGAGCGATGCAGAGAAATCCCGAGTTGAAACCGTTGCTCGATCCAGAATAAAATTCACTTATGACATTTACTTTTCCCGAAAATCTCATTCAAAAGCTTGTTTATGGATATTGTTTCTAATAGTAGTGCACCTTGATCATCGCCTAAATTTCTCGAAATCTCGAGAACCGCTTATCAGAACCCGTATTTCCTCTAATAAACGCCCCCTTGACCAACTTTGGACGCTTCGTTCTCAGCCCCATTTTGAGGGTATTTTTATGTTTAATATATCAAAAGATAGCCCTTAATGTCTTCTATCTTTTGATATATTAAACATAAAAATATCTCCAAATGGAGCTGAGAACGAAGCGTCCAAAGTTGGTCAAGGGGGGGGGGGGCGTTTATTAGAGGAAATACGGTATCTATGTGGGGTCGGAAAATGTAGCTGACGATGAGATCTTGTGAGGGATTTGAGTGTTGAGCTTCTGGGAAAAATTGGAAACCGTAAAATAGGCATCAACTCGGCACTACTATTAGAGAGATTACAGTATATGGATTATTCAAAGTGCATGCTCAATAATTCTTTTGATTTGCTTGTTTGTTTCACGATGGTCAAACATTGATCACAATTGTCATTAGACAAAGGTAAGAAAACAATAATCAAACTCACATCCTCTCGCTGACCTGGCAAACACTCCAATGAGCTACACTGAGATCCAATTCCGACAAGCTAGGGTCTTCTTTCCTACAGTTACCTCGATTGTTATCAAGCACAGTTTCTTTGGAACTTTGAAGGTAAAACACTTTAAATTCAGACAGAGTTAATGTGTATGTTTATGAGCAAAAAGCATTAGGTTGCAGTCAGAACACATCGGAATATATGAAAGTCATAGGAAAAGAGTATTCCTCGCTAGTAAAGTGCCAATTTTTGAAACTATCGTAACCTTTCCTTCAACTTTTATCTGCATCTTGTAATTTGATTCACATTCACACATATAAACTTTTTGGTAAACTCGGGAAAATGAGTACAAAATTTCAAATTTTGTGCTTCGCTTCGAAAGCTTCATTTCATTACGCTTTTTCTACGCACATAGGACAAAATAGTATTTTATACTCCGAAATTTCAGGGTAATGGTTTATCGAATGAGCAAATTTCAGGGTAATGGTTTATCGAATGAGCAAAAACTTATTTAACTTTTCGTTTCTTTAAGTAGAAAAAATTTGATTTATGGTTTATTTCTTTTTTGGTAAACTCGGGAAAATGAGTACAAAATTTCTGATTTTTCTTTTTGAGTTTTGAATCTTTGGCCTTCAGGCAATAATTAATTTTTTTTTACGATAACTTTTTGAGATCAGTTTTTGATCAAACAAAAATGTGATAGACAAATGAACGCGGGTAACTACAGTAATCTTTGTAAAGGCAAGAAGTTTATTGATTAAAGTATTATAATATGTCTTATTTCTTATTTTACTAAACTCTTAGTATCGTTCGAATAAGATCACTTGAAATTAGAGTCAGTGGGAAAATTTCGTTTGGTTTTTTTTTGTTGGTTTGTTTGAAGAAAATCTGCGGACACAATTGGTAAAATAAGAAATAAATAATTATTTATCGTTCTAACAATAAACGTCGATAATCAGAACAGATTGAAGTGTTTTGGAAATGATATCATATGCATTTTTTGTTTGGCTTTTTGTGGTTATAATCGTTCTAAGGTTTTCCCTTTCTTTCATTTCTTTTTGTAGCTTTTAACACAATTAAATAAGCCATGAAAATTACAAAAATCAATTGATCAATCAATTTGATCCTGTAAAAGACCTTGGTATACTGTTAGTTCCCTCTCTAAAATTTGATCCTCACATAAACTACATTTCCAAAAAAGCTTCTAGAATTTCTAACATAATACTTCGCGCCATTTGTTTCCCTAAAATCGCGACTTATCGCAGGGCTTTTATAACCTATTGCCGGCCTTTGCTCGAGTATGCCACCATCGTATGGTCACCTTCCATTAAGAAACTTATCACCTTGGTTGAAAATGTACAACGGCGTTTCACTAAAAAAGCATACACTCGTTGTTTCCCTTCTTCTCTTATTCCAAATTATGAGACTAGACTTATAGTTTTTGATTTAAAACCCCTTTTATATCGCCGTATTTACTCTGATCTGATTTTCTGCTATAAAATCCTTTTCCACCCTAAGGCGCATCCGGAATTTCAAAGTCTCTTGAAAATTGTGGAAAGTCCTAGAAGAACCCGTAGTCATCCTTATCAAATTTCGCTCGGTTCTCATCCCCACCACCTTTCCCTTTATCATTCTTTCGCGAACCGTATTAGTAGGGTTTGGAATAAGCTCCCGCCTGGTATCTTCTCGTCTGTAGGAAAATTCAAAGTATCTGTAAACGAATTAGATCTAATTGCCATGTCAAATCTGCCTTATATTTAATCTTTTGTACCTGTTTTTCCTGACTATCGTCTTACTGTATCTCTAGGTTTCTTTCTTTTTTGTGAAAGTATTGTAGCAATTATATACGGTTATGATTATCTGATTCGCTTCTATTCGCCCTCCTGAATAAAGCATATATATATATATATATATATATGCATTTTTTGTTTGGCTTTTTGTGGTTATAATCGTTCTAAGGTTTTCCCTTTCTTTCATTTCTTTTTGTAGCTTTTAACACAAATAAATAAGCCATGAAAATTACAAAAATCAATTGATCAATCAATTTGATTGATAAAGCTTGATTAATAAAGCTTGATTAGTAAAGCTGGATCAATAAATCTTGATTAATAAATCTTGATTAATAAAGCTTGATTAGTAAAGCTGGATCAATAAATATTGATCAATAAATCTTGATTAATAAAGCTTGATTAATAAAGCTTGATCAATAAAAGATCATAAAGCAAAAGAAAATAGAAGAATGCGAAAGGAAAGATCCTTTCTTCTCTTTTCATTTTGATACAAGTGAACAAAAATTCTCTTCTTTAGCTGCAATCCACAATTTTAGCCATTTTAGAATGGGAATCTATTTGGGTAAAATCAGATATTTTACTATGGAATAGCTTGTTTTTAAGCAGAAAAAGAGCAAGAGTCAGAGCAACCAACTCAATGGGATCATTCTCAAGGACATCCCACACACAAAAGCTCTCTTCTTTAGCTGCAATCCACAATTTTAGCCATTTTAGAATTGAAATCTATTTGGGTAAAATCAGGTATTGTACTATGGAAATCGAGCTTGTTTTTTTTAGTTATAAAAGTTCAGCCAGTACAAATCAGTTTCTTAAAAAGATCTTCAACGAAATCTACTCACTTTCTCGATCCATAAAGTTCAACAAATCGTTCAAAAAAGCTCAAAAATCAGAGCATTCAACTGAATTCTATAAATCTAAAATCTAAAGTATTCTAAAATGACTAAGATGATTGATTGCAGCTAAAAAAGAGAACTTTTGTGTGTGAACTTCCTTGAGAATGATCCCATTGAGTTGGTTGCTCTGACTTTTGATCTTTTTCTATTTAAAAACAAGCTATTCCATAGTAAAATATCTGATTCTACCCAAATAGATTTCAATTTTAAAATGGCTAAAATTGTGGATTGCAACTAAAGAAGAGAACTTTTGTTCACTTTTATCAAAATGAAAAGAGAAGAAAGGATCTTTCCTTTCACATTCTTCTATTTTTTCTCGCTTTATGATCATTTATTGATTAAGCTTTATTAATCAAGACTGTTCAAGACAAACTATAATGTTTGCAATCATTTTGCAATCAGTTTTGCAATCAAATTTTTGCAATCAAACTATTGCAATCATTTTTACATGTTTATGAGCTTCTTCTGCGGATATGAATGTCATTCGAGTCTCAAAAAAAAAGAAAAACTTGTCTCCAAAGTCGCGAAAATGTCCACACAAAATGGTCTCTTGGGAAAAAGAAAGAAAAAAAAGAAAGAAAAAGACAAATTCTCATCAAAAATTCAGTAAAATATCTTTTTACAAGCTTTTATCAATAAAAAACTTTCAAATTGATGTTTTTTTATGACTTTTATTTTTATTTAATTAACAACAAATAACAAAAAGTCAATGTTTAAGAGATTTCATTCAAGAGATGAATGACAAGCGCTTTTAATGAGCTTTTAATGCTCAATGAATGACAAGTGCTCTTAATCCGTTTACACTTTTTCTAGAAACATTTTTCTTACCCACTTTTCACCGACCCTCGACAATGCTCGTGTGGCCAAGTGGTTAGCATTTGTGTCTCTGGCTCGAGAGATCGCGGGTTCAATCCCTCTAAGTCGAATGATGAACTACCATCCTTGCTCTGCGAGGCAATTTCCCTGGATTCATCGATTTGGATCTAAATCAATCACCGTCGATTGTTTGGAGAAGAATTGTTGGATTTATTAAAGGTTGATTGCGATGAACAGTTATGGCCTCTGACGACTTTTTGGCTTTCAAGATTGCATAAGTCATTGAGAGTAAAAACAAAACAAATTACACCGATGTTTTCTCTTTTGAAACTGGCTAAAAGCTTATTTTCTTTTATATTTTTTTTCAAAATTACTTTTACATTAAAGAAAAGTATCCCATTTTAACAATGACTTATTATTCGACAGTTTTTCGACAGGCAAATCATTTTGTATGATTAATCTTTTGAATATGAATGGATCAATCCAAAAATTCTTTGCTTTCATTGATTCAATTCATCGCCACTCCTCAACCAAAAGATTTTTCACAAGATCAGCCGACAATTGTTTCGGTAAGAGTACAAAGGAAAGATTTTAACCTTTAAGAGTTTTAGACGCATTTGGAAGCTTTCTAATCACCTTATCCTACTTCAGAACCAGTTTTGTTAGCCATTTTTCGACCTGCCACAATGATAATGTAGCCAAATGGTTAGCATTTGTTGATTGATTGATTGTTTTGATTGATTGATTGAATCCATCAATTCTTCTCCAAACAAGATTGAGATTCAATTCCTCTAAATTCGAATGATGCTCTGCGAGACAGTTCAATTGCTCTAAGTTCGAATGATGCCCTGCAAGACAGTTCAATCCTTCTAAGTTCGAATGATGAACTAT